TTCAAGGTGTCAACCCCCGCCTCGGGGTTGGTTCCTTTGGACGTTCCCCCCCTCCCCAGGTGCCCTTCACGGACCTTCTGGACGCGGCCAAGAGCGTGGTGAAGGCCTTGTTCCTACGGGAGAAGTACATGGGGTTGTCTCTGCAAAGCTTCTGCAAAACCACCGCCCGGTACCTGCAGGAACTCTCCGAGAAACCCCTGGAGACCCGCGGCTATGAGGAGGTGCCCGAGACCCCCGTAGCCGCCGGTGAGCACGGGGTGGGGGGCTCTTCACGCCGGGATGGGGTGCTGGAGGAGCTTTGGGGGAGCCATCCGATGATGCGTATCATCTTCTTGTTGGGCGTCTCCCGGCTGCAGATGCCCCTGTGCACCCCCCGTTTGCGGAGCAGCACCCCTATGAGGTGTGGGACCCCCAAACCATGCCGGCTGATCTGGGCTTCGGGCTGAAGATGGTGGACGGCGTGGTGCACGTCTACACCAAGCAGGACCTCACCGACAAGTGAGTCGTGAGGAGTGGGGGGCTCACCGGTCTGATGGGTTTGTTGGGGGGGCTGCAGTGGGTGGCGTGGGGTATGGGGGGGGTCCCTCTGTGTCACCCACCTCTGTGTCCCCACCCCCCCCGCCCAGGAGCACGGAGCTGGACCTGCCGTACCCCGACCTGCAGGAGTTCATCGCCGACATGAATTTCCTCATGGCTTTGATCATCAACGGGCCCATGTAAGAAGAGTCCCACTATGGGGGGTGTCTTGGGGGGGCCAGCCCATCTCTGGCTGGGGTGGGGGATCTTCTGCAGGGCTTGTCCCAGGGTGGGGGATGCTGGGGGCTCTGGATAGGGATGTTGTGGTGACTCTGGGGTGACAAGGGGTCTCAGCTCGCATGAATTTCCTCACGGCTTTGATCATCAACGGGCCCATGTAAGGAGAAGGGTCCCACCATGGGGGTGTCTTGGGGGGGGGGGGGGGGGATGCAGAACCTTGGGGACAGCACTAGAGGACATGGCGGTGGCTATGACACATGGTACTGGTGCAGCTCCCATGTCCGTGCGTCCGTCCTTGCTCATGGTCACCACGCACAGGGAGAGGGGTCCAAGAGTCCCAAGCCGCGTCCCCTCATCCTGGTGGGCACCAGCCTTTGGGGGGTTGGGGCTGGATGTTCTCCCTCCTCCCCCCAAAACTGACACCCCCATCCCCGCCTCGGGCAGCAAATCCTTCTGCTACCGCCGGCTGCAGTACCTGAGCTCCAAGTTCCAGATGCACGTCCTGCTCAACGAGATGAAGGAGCTGGCGGCCCAGAAGAAGGTGCCCCACCGCGACTTCTACAATATCCGCAAGGTACCCGCCGGCTCGCGGTGGGGGTCCTGGCTTGACCTGGGTGGGGGGGGCACACGTGGAGGCTCTCAGGGCTGAGCAGCACCTCTGGCCGTGCAGGTGGACACCCACATCCACGCCTCGTCCTGCATGAACCAGAAGCACCTCCTGCGCTTCATCAAGCGGGCCATGAAGAAGCACCTGGATGAAATCGTCCACGTGGAGAAGGGCAAGGAGCAGACGCTCAAGGAGGTCTTCGAGACGATGAACCTCACCGCTTACGACCTGAGCGTGGACACGCTGGATGTCCACGCGGTACGGGGGACACCCCCAAATCCTGGAGATGAGCAGGGCCCTCAGCTCATCTCTGGCCAGGGTGGGGGATCTTCTCCGGGGGTTGTCCCAGGGTGGGCTGGGGGGGGTTGCTGGAGGTTCTGGAGAGGGATGTTGTGGTGGCTCTGGGGTGACAAGAGGTCTCAGCTCACATCTGCGTCCCCCTGCCAGGACCGCAACACCTTCCACCGCTTCGACAAGTTCAACGCCAAGTACAACCCCATCGGTGAGTCCATCTTGCGGGAGATCTTCATCAAGACGGACAACCGCGTCTCGGGGAAGTACTTTGCCCACATCATCAAGGTGAGTGGCCCTGCTGGGTGACCCTCCCCATCTCCCTCTGATGCCCATGGTAGCGATGCCACCCATGTCCCTCTTCCTGGTGGCCAAGGGGTGACACCTGCCCCTCCCCGGCAGGAGGTGATGTCCGACTTGGAGGAGAGCAAGTACCAAAACGCCGAGCTGCGGCTCTCCATCTACGGTCGCTCCCGGGACGAGTGGGACAAACTGGCCCGCTGGGCCGTCAACCACCGTGTCCACTCCAACAACGTCCGCTGGCTCGTGCAGGTGCCCCGGCTCTTGTGAGTAACGGAAGGTCAGATACCCTCAACCAGGGCCACGTCCTGGGTGGGGAGACCAAGGACACCCCAGTGATGGATGGGGTGGGATGGGGTGGGGTGGGACGGGATGGGACAGCCATCTCTGAGCAGGGTCTGTCCCCCTGCAGCGATGTTTACCGGACGAAGAAGCAGTTGGCCAACTTTCAGGAGATGCTGGAGAACATCTTCCTGCCCCTCTATGAGGCCACCGTCCACCCTGCCCAACACCCGGAGCTTCACCTCTTCCTGGAGCACGTGAGCACCACGTCCTGCTCCTGGGGGGCGGGGGGGGGGCGGACACACGGAGAACACCGGTGACACCCGCAATCCCCAGCCGGGACCCAGCTTGGGGGGCTGAATCTGCTGGAGGGGTGACCATCCCACCCCGGGGTTGTCTCTGCCGCAGGTGGACGGCTTCGACAGCGTGGATGATGAATCCAAACCAGAACATCACATCTTCAACCTGGACAGCCCCTTGCCGGGCAACTGGGTGGAGGAGGACAACCCACCCTACTCCTACTACCTGTACTACATGTATGCCAACATGACGGTGCTCAACCACCTCCGACGGTGAGGATATCTCGGGGTCCCCGGCACCTCCACCGGTCCTGGGAGGGTCTTGGCGGGGGGTGGGGGGGGGGTGGGGGGGTGTCAGATGATGATGGTCAGCCCCGCGTTGCAGGAAGAGAGGCTTCCACACCTTCGTCCTGCGCCCGCACTGTGGTGAGGCTGGCCCCATCCATCACCTCGTCTCGGGCTTCATGGTCTCGGAGAACATCTCCCACGGCTTGCTGCTCCGCAAGGTGAGCGGGGATGGGGGGTGCCCATGGGGGCCGGGTGTGTGGCTGGGACCCCCTCCCCCCTCATGCTGTTGTTCCCCCCCACCCCATCTCCCCAGGCCCCCGTCCTGCAGTACCTCTACTACCTGGCGCAGATCGGCATCGCCATGTCCCCGCTGAGCAACAACAGCCTCTTCCTCAGCTACCACCGCAACCCCCTGCCCGAGTACCTCTCACGGGGGCTCATGGTCTCCCTCTCCACCGACGACCCCCTCCAGTTCCACTTCACCAAGGTGAGTGGTTGTGTGTGTGTGTGGGGGGGGGGTCACAAGCCACCAACCCCCCCCTAAAAACGGCTACAGAGTGGCCACCGACCAAGCCACGGTGATGGGAGCAGGTTGGTGGTGGTGGCCAGGAGCAAGGCAATGCCAACAGGCTCCGGAGGATGCTGATGGTCTGGAGAGGGTGGGATAAGCTGGGGACCCCCATCCTCCTTGGGGGGTGGCCCACGGGTGGGTGCTGAGGCCGTGTCCCCCCCCCTCCCCCTCCAGGAGCCGCTGATGGAGGAGTACAGCATCGCCACCCAAGTCTGGAAGCTCAGCTCCTGCGACATGTGCGAGCTGGCCCGCAACAGCGTCCTGATGAGCGGCTTCTCCCACAAAGTAACGACCCCCCTGTCCCACCCCGGGACCCCCGAGCACCCTGCGGCGGGTGCTGGCAGCACCCAAAGGCAGCTGTGGGAGCTCCTCCTTGCCCTTCTCCCCAGGTGAAGAGCTACTGGCTGGGACCCCACTACCTGAAGGAGGGTCCGGAGGGCAACGACATCCGTCGTACCAACGTCCCCGACATCCGCGTGAGCTACCGCTTCGAGACGCTGTGCCAGGAGCTGACCCTCATCACGCAGGCGGTGCAGACCGAGGAGCTGGAGACCATCCAGGAGGAGGACGCTCTCACCATCACCTCCACCCTGGGCACCCACTGACTGCCCCCCCCGCCCTGCCCCAGCCCCCGGGGCTCTTGTCCCCAGCTCCCGCGGGGACCCCTCTGTCACCCCGCATCCCTCCAGGGCTTCGCCGCCGTCCCCCTCCTGCTACCTCCCGCCCTGGCAAGGGGACGCTCCCCGCTGCTGTCCCCAGCGCCCCGACAGTGTCACTCACCGTGGAGGGGTCGGGGTTTGCTGGGTTCTCTCCGTTTCTTATTTTTGTGGGGAGGTTTTTTTGGTCTTTTTTTGTCGTCGTTCTTTTGTTTTGTTTTTGTTCTGTTTTTTAAACTGGTGTCTCCTCGCTGGGTTGGTCCTTGGTGGCATGGGGACGAGGCCACAGGAGGTGGTGACATGGGTGTGGGCACTGTTGGAAGGGTCCTGGCTTCACCTCCCGGGTGACAGATTTAGGGGACAGCGGTGCCAGGCATGGGGACGTTGTGGGGGGACCCAGCCCAGGAGCAGCGCCTGGGTCCTGACGCTTTTTAATTTCCTGCCCGTCTCTCCGTCCACTTTCTCGCCCCGTGGGGACACACTGAGCGGCACCCCAGGGACCCGAACCCCGGCTCTCTGCACCCCCAGGCTCCTCTCGCACCCTTCCACGGGGATGCCACGGTCAGTGGGGACCCGGTGGCCCGGAGGAGACGGGGTGCTGGCTGGAGGGGACAATGCCTGGTGGAGGATGCTCCATCCTCTTCATCACCGCAGGGAGGAAGGCAAAGGGGCCGGGGTGCCGCGTGTCCCCGTCCCTCAGGCTCCCAGGAGCAGCTTGTGGCCCGGATCGGGCCGGACGAGGCTTTTCCCTTCCAGGTGGGGCATTACCCCATCCTTGGGTCCCCCCCAAGTCCCGGTCTGCTGTGGTCCAGAGCCGGCAGCCGACTCTCCCAGGAAAACGTGATGGCGACTACAAACAAACAAAACAAAACAAACAAACAAAAGTTTTAAAAAAACCAACCAAGCATGAAAAATAAAGTATTTAAGTAAAATAGTTAACATTTAAGTGTGGCGGGGGAGGGAGGGGGGAAGTATCACGGCCCCAGAGGGAAACTGAGGCAGCACGAGGGTGGCCCCACAGCTTGCCGTCATAGGGACATCACCTTTGGGGATGGGGGGGGGGGTCCCCAAAGTGATTCAGGGTGCCGGGGGCCGGATCCTGAGCGGCGGGCGGTAGCCGCAGCGCTGGCCACAGAGCTAGTGGGACGCCCTGGCACCCTGCCTGCGCCCGGTCACGCGAGCGGGGAGGGGAAAGGGGAGGGTGCTGGGGGGGGGGACGGGGACACGGGGACACGGCCCCTCCACCCCTGTCCCTGTGTCCCCACAGAGCCGGAGCTGGGTGCCACCATGGTGGTTACGTTGGGGTACTGGGACATTCGCGGGGTGAGTGTGTGTGTATGGGGGGGTGGGGGGTGGGCTGGGTGCCACGGTGTGGGGGGGTCCTGGGTGGGTGGGGAGGGGTCGGTGACAAAAACGTGGGTGCTGTGTCCCCCCAGCTGGCCCACGCCATCCGCATGCTGCTGGAGTACACGGAGACCCCCTACCAGGAGCGACAGTACTGCCCCGGCCCAGGTGAGGGGGGGCAAGCGGGGTGCCCCCCCACCGCCTTCCATGTCTGCCCTTCCCCCTCCCACCCCCCCCCCCCCAGGACCCTTGTCACCCCGCTTTGTGCTGCGTCAGAAACCAGCTGAAGGAGAAGGAACACCCCCATTTTGCAGGGCGAAAGCGTAACGTGTCCTCTTGCCCCCTCCTCGCCCTCCCCCCCCCCCTTCCTGCCAGGTCTGGGGGGGCAATTCTGCCCTCCCCGCCCCCCCCCCCCCCCCCCCCCCCCCCCCGGCCCTGGACCTTGGCCCCAGCTCAGTGTCCGCCTTTATCTGCCCAGGGAGGGTGTCTGGGGGTGGGGGGGACACACTCATGGCAGCTCCTGGGATAAACTGGCGACCCCCCCCCCCCCCACTGCACACCCCCTCCACCCATGAATTTGCTGTGGGTGGGATGAGCGGGGACGGGGGGCCCAGGGGTGCCTCCCCCCATCTCTCCACCTCCCCCAGCCCCTGACTTCGACCCGAGCGACTGGACCAGTGAGAAGCAGAAATTGGGCCTCGACTTCCCCAATGTAAGTGGTGGATGGGGAATTGGGGGGAGGGGAGGTGGGGGGGGGCACCGGGGCTGACCCCCTCATGGTACAAGCCCCCCTCCCCAAACCTGCCCCCCCCCCAGCTGCCCTATCTCATCGACGGCCCCACCAAGCTGACGCAGAGCAATGCCATCCTGCGCTACATCGCCCGCAAGCACAAGATGTGTGAGTGATGGGAGCCGGGGGGTGGGGTGGGGTGGAGGGAGGGGTCACAGCACCAAGTGGGGGGGTGGTGGGGGGGTGTCCCCGGGGTGTGGGGGGGAACTGGCATCCCCCCCCCATCCTGCAGGCGGTGAGACGGAGGAGGAGCTGCTGCGCGTGGACATGCTGGAGAACCAGATCATGGATTTGCGCATGAGCTTCATCCGGCTGTGCTACAACCCCGACTTCGTGAGTTCACCCCACCTTCTCTGGGAAGGGGGGGGGGGGGGGGGGGCACGGGGAGGGGGGTGGACACCCCCCCCCTCCCACCCCCCTCACTCCCAGGGGTGTTGTCCCCAACACTGGGGACACGGGGAAATCAAGCCACAGCCAGCACATGGGGGTGCATTGGGGTGCACCCCATACCTGGTTTCAGTCAGGGGGGTGATGTCCCTTGGGGCTGGGGGGGGGGCAACCCCCACCCAGCTCTCCCCCCCCCCGCCCCTCCATGTAGGAAAAGCTGAAGCCGGCGTACCTGGAGCAACTCCCCGGGAAGCTGCGGGAGCTGTCGCGGTTCCTGGGCTCCCAGCCGTGGTTTGCGGGGCAGAAGGTAGATTGGGGGGGTGCTGGGAGTTTTGGGGGGGGAGGGGGTCCTTGTGGGGGGCTGACGCCTCCCCTCTCACCACCGCCACCCCACCACCCCACTCGCAGCTCACCTTCGTGGACTTTGTGGCGTACGACGTGCTGGACCAGCACCGCATGTTCGTCCCCGAGTGCCCCGAGCTGCAGGGCAACCTGGGGCAGTTCCTGCGGCGCTTCGAGGTGAGGGGGGCCTCCTGGGGACACTCCGGTGTCACCGGTGTCACCGGACCGCTCCCCAACACCCCGATGCCCCTGTCCCCATCCCCAACCCCCCCAGTGCCCCTGTCCCCATCCCTGACACCCCAGTGTCCCCATCCCTGACATTCCAGTGTCCCCGTCTCTATCTTTGTCCCTGACACCCCGGTGTCCCCATACCTGTCCCCATCCCTGTCCCCACCCCTGACACCCCGCTGTCCCCATCCCTGTCCCCATCCCTGTCCCCACCCCTGACACCCCGCTGTCCCCATCCCTGTCCCCATCCCTGTCCCGTCTCCCCCCCGCAGGCGCTGGAGAAGATCTCTGCTTACATGCAGTCGGGGCGCTTCATGAAGACCCCCATTTTCTGGCGCACGGCCCAGTGGTGCAACACCAAGGAGTGAGCGGGGTGCCCCTCACCCCCCCCACTCCCCCCGAGCCCCCTGCCTGGCCCCCAGGCCTCTCCCCTGCAGAATAAACCGGGGGGGGGTTGCTGCCCCCTTGTCTCGCTGCTGCGTGGGGTGCATTGAGCCGCCACGGGGCTGCGGGGTGCTGGGAAGGGTGGGGGCTGTAGGGACCCCCCACTTTGTGGGGGGTGACTCTTGGGCGGTAACAGAGGAGGGGGGTATTGGACCCTCCTGCACCCTGGGACAGAGGGGAAGACATTCCCTCTTCACCCCCAGGATAAGGGGGACCCCCCTGTGGAGACTATGGGGCCCAAAGGGGGAGGCTCTCATGCCCCCCAGAATACTGAGGCTCCCGTGCATCTTTAGGGGGGGGTCACATAGGCACCCATGCCCCCAGGGTAAGGGGGTCCCTATGGAGACTGGGGGACCCCTGCTTCCAAAGCCAGGGGGACCCCAATGCAGTCCAGGGAGCTCCCAGGGAAGACTCACGTGTGTCGTCCCCCTCCCCCCCCCCAAAATAAAGGGGACCACATACAGCTTTAGGGGTGCAAAGGAGGCCTCATGTCCCCCCATGCAGACAGGGGGGATCAAAGTGGGGCTCATGCCCTTCCCAGGACTAGCAACGAGCGGAATTACGACTTTACAACCAGGAAGGTTATAAAGTAGGTATGTTTATTCAGCGCTGGGCGCATGGGGGATAGCTCCTCCACAAGCGTACTCTCCCTGGAGGGAAAAGCGGCTCCTTTTTATTGTGTAAAACGTTACATAGTCATTAAAACATATGCATCACAACTCCAGGGAGAGGGAGGGAATATTACAATTAGTTCCGAGAAATCATTAACATATCCTCCGGCCCAAATCCCTCCCGGTTGCGCCTGCGCAGTGACTCTTGGTGGTCGTGGGCAGGGGTCTGCAGATGAAGGCTCGTAGTCTTCTTCACGGTGTTCGCCAGCCGACCCTTACTGCTGCGCAAGCTCAGTCCTGTGCTCGCGTACACCTTGTCCTTCAGGTCCGGGCTAATTTGCAGCTTCTTTGTCTTTATGGCTCAGGAGTTTTAGTTCCCCTCTTATCTCAAGGACAAGAGGTACCAGAGATGGCCCGTCCAGTTTTTCTTTCACTCCATTGCAAAGGAGTTACCGTCCTTTGATGGAGGCCGTCTGGTGAGCATCCCCTGAAAAAGGGGGGGGGGCTGTTGGGTTAATGTTTCCTCAGATCACTAGTGGACCCCAACGTGGACTGTGGGAGTCCCCCTCGGGTAAGGGGGAGCCCCCATGCAGCGGGGGGGGGGGGGGGGGGGGGGGGTTGTAGAGCCCCCAGAGTAAAGGGGACTCCCATGCCCACTGTGAGGCCCAAGGGGGGGCCATGCCCCTCAGAATAAAGGGGGGCCCACAGGTATCTGGGAGGGGTTGCAAGGCGGGGGATCCCCTACCCCCCAAGTATAAAAATGCTCCCATCCAGGCTGGGGGGAAGCCGTGCTCCCCAAAATCGGGGGGGGTGGGGGGGGCGATCCCCATTCAGCTTGGGGGGGGTGGAATGCAAAGGGGGGAAACCCACAAGCCCCCAGTATAAGGGGGACCCCCATGGTGCTTGGAGGGCGAAGGGGGGAGTCGCAGAGGCCCCAGGATAAGGAGCACCCCAATGCAAACAGGGGAACCCCGGAACCCCACCCAGGATGAGGGGAAGGGGGGGGGTTGGGGAATACCACGCTTCCCCAGCTGCATCCAGGCCCCTGTCCCTTTAAGACAAGCCCCGCCCCGCGTTAAGCCCCGCCCCCGAGGAGGAGGCGGGGCTTAACGCGAGGGGGGGCGTTGCGCGGGGGGAGCGGAGCGATCGGCCATGGCGGTGCTGGGCTACTGGGACATCCGCGGCGTGAGTGGGTGGGGGGGCTGCACCCCACACCCCCCCCCCCGCACGGGGCTCCCCCTGCTTTTAGTGAGGGGGGGCTGTGGGTCCCCCTGGTCTTTTGGGGGGGCGCCGGGAGGGTCCCTCGGGTGTTGCGGGGGGGATCCCCCTGCACGTGGCGGGGGGGGGGAACGGATGCACACACACGCGTTGCTTTTGGGGGGAACCCAGTGGGTTGTGGGGTGCCCCGTGCCTGCGGGGGCGGGGGGGTACTGGGCGGGGGGGGGGGTGGGGTGGAGGGTTGGCTCGCCCTCCTCCGTGCCTCAGTTTCCCCGTTTGGGGGGGTTACTGATCCCTGTGTGTGTGTCCCCCCCGCCCAGCTCGCCCACGCCATCCGCCTGCTCCTGGAGTACACCGAGACGCCCTACGAGGACAAGCTCTACAGCTGCGGGGAAGGTGAGGGGGGGGCCAGGGGGGGTCCCCACTCCACCTTCAAGCTCTGTGGCTTTTGGTGGGGACACGGTGTCCCCCAACACCACGCCCCCCCCCCCCCCCCCCCCCGGCCCTTTCTCTTTCCAGCTCCTGACTACGACAAGAGCCAATGGATCAACGAGAAGGAGAAGCTGGGGCTGGACTTCCCCAACGTAGGTGGTCTGGAGGTGGGGGGGGGGGGTGGGGGGGGTTATGGGGGGGCGGCCGCCCTGGTGGCCACGTGCCCTGGTGGCCCCATGCCTCGATGTCCCCTCCAGCTCCCTTACTTCATCGACGGCCCCACCAAGCTGACGCAGAGCAACGCCATCATGCGCTACATCGCCCGCAAGCACAAGATGTGTGAGTGCTTGGGTGGGCTTGGGTTGGGGTCTGGAGTTGGGTTGGGCTTGGATTTTGGAGTTGGGGTTTTAGACTTGGGTTGGGGTTGGACTCGGAGTTGGCCTTTGGTTGGGGTTGGGTTGGGGTTTGGAGTTGGGTTGGGCTTGGATTTTGGAGTTGGGTTTTTGGGTTGGACTTGGACTTGGGGTTGGGTTGGCCTTGGGGTTGGGTTGGGTTTTGGGGTTGGGGTTTTGGACTTGGGTTGGGGTTGGACTTAGAGTTGGCCTTTGGTTGGGGTTGGGTTGGGGTTTGGAGTTGGGTTGGGCTTGGCCTTGGGGGTGGGTTGGGGTTTGGAGTTGGGTTGGGCTTGGCCTTGGGGTTGGGTTGGGTTTTTGGGTTGGGGTTTTGGACTTGGGTTGGGGTTGGACTTGGAGTTGGCCTTTGGTTGGGGTTGGGTTGGGCTTGGCCTTGGGGTTGGGTTGGGTTTTGGGGTTGGGGTTTTAGGCTTGGGTTGGGGTTGGACTTGGAGTTGGCCTTTGGTTGGGGTTGGGTTGGGGTTTGGAGTTGGGTTGGGCTTGGCCTTGGGGTTGGGTTGGGTTTTTGGGTTGGACGTGGAGTTGGGCTTGGGTTGGGATCTGGCGTTGGGTTGGCACTTGGAGTTTGGTTGGGCTTGGGCTTGGGCTTGGGTTGGGGTTGGGTTGGGGGGCCCCCCACCCAGCGCTGATGTCTCCCCACACCGCAGGCGGTGAGACGGAGGAGGAGATCCTCCGTGTAGACATGCTGGAAAACCAGATCATGGATTTCCGCATGAGCCTGGTGATGGTTTGCTACAACCCTGACTTCGTGAGTGTCCCTGTGCTGCGGTGCTGGGTGACCGTACCCATGCCAGGGTCCTCCCTGCCCGAGCCTCGGGTTGTATCAGCATCAGGAACCCCACTTGGGGACAGGGATGTCCCCTGGGGTGGGGGCACCGGGGTGCCCAGCCTCACCCCTCCACCCTTTCTTCCTGCAGGAGAAGCTCAAGCCGGGCTACCTGGAGCAGCTCCCGGGGAAGCTGAAGCTCTTCTCCAACTTTTTGGGGGACAGAAAGTGGTTTGCAGGGGAGAAGGTACCATCAGGGCCCCGGAGCAGGGCAGTGAGGGCTGGGGGGCTTGTCCCCAGGCTGGTCCTCACCGTGTGTGTGTGTGTGTGTCCCCGTCCCCAGCTCACCTTCGTGGACTTCCTCATGTTCGACGTGCTGGAGCAGAACCGCATCTTCGAGCCCAAGTGCCTGGAGCCCTTCAAGAACCTCAAGGACTTCATGGACCGCTTTGGGGTGAGCTGAGCCACCCCGGGCGTTGCCCTCCCCTCCCTGGGGAAGGACCCCAACCCCCGAGAGCACCCCGGGGTGGGGTGGGGGGTGCAGGTCCCTGACGCTCCCCTTGCCCCCCCACCCCACCCCTCGCAGGCCCTGGAGAAGGTGGCTGCCTACATGAAGTCCAGCCGCTTCCTGAAGATGCCCATCAACAACAAGATGGCCAAGTGGGGCAACAAGAAGGAGTAGGGGCTCGGCGTGGGGCGAGGGGAGCCGGGGGTGGTGGTGGGGGGGGGGAGGTCCTACCCCTCTCCCCCCAGCTCCGGTACCCTCCATCCTGGGGTGGGCACTGCTGGCGTGAAGCCCCCCAACACAATAAAGTGTTTTTAACGTGGCACCTTGAGCCCCCGTGGGGTGAGGGCAGGGGGGTTGGAGTGGGGGGGGGGGGGTGCGCTGAGCTGGCCCACGACCACTGTGGGGGGGTGAGTGGGGGGGGGCAGGCACTGTCACAGCTCCAGCCACTCTGCCCCCCCCTCTATGGCTTGGCTGGGGTTTGGGGAGGCACAAGCTCAGCCCTGTGCTGTCCCTGGGCCCCCCCCCCCCCCCCCCCGGGAAAGGAGCCCCATGCCCCCTCCCTTCTCATTAGCGCGTTCCTGCCTGCTAACGAGGCAGCTGGGGGGTGTGTGTGGGGGGGTGTGTGGGGGGGTGTGTGGGTGTGGGTGTGTGTGTGGTGTTAGTGCCCGCCACCCACCCCCCCATACCCACCGGGGTGGGGGGGCTGCCTGGGATGGGGACCCACCCCTTGGGTGCTGCTGGGCAGGTCCCCATGAGGGGGTGGGGGGGTGCAGCCCCATGTCCCCCTCCCTGCCCCACCAGGGTGACCCACGTGTGACACGGGGAGTGGGGTGCCCCCCCACCCCCCCATTGCAGACCCCCGTGCTGTCACTCTCTTTATTTTCCACAGCAATCGCTTTACATTTTGTGGGGTGCACACACACTTATGCTGCCCGTCCCCCACGGGGGGGCTCCTGCCCCCCACTTCTCTGTGGGGGGGGGTCCCCAAGAACCCTCCAACACAGCAGGGTGGTCCCAGCAGCCTCGTGTCACTGCTTTGGGGGAGGGACACACACGTGTCCCCTAACCCCCCAAGGAGTGGCTCTCTGTCTTGGGGGGCCAGGCGGGATTTGGGACAGTTGGGGACACGGTGGCTCAATCCTTGGGGCCCATCTGCAGAAAAGGGGAAGGGAAAAGCGGTGGGTGGCTGGGGGGGTGGTGGGGGGAGCCTCGGGGTGGGGAGGGGGCGTGGGGCCGGGGGTCCCTCACCCCCAGGGACGTCCTGACGGAGGAGAGCTTGAAGAGGACTCGCCGCCACTCCTCGGGGCAGACGGCTCGCAGCTCCTCCGGGCTCATCTGCAGCAGCTGGTGCCCCCCCAGCACCCCCAGGCACCTCACCGTGCTGCGGATGGACACACCGTCGGGGGGGTAAGCAGGCATTGACACACCACACCCCCCCCCCCAAGTGAAGCCACACAGCCTGGGGGGGCTCAAGGGTTCACCTACATCCGTGAGAAGCCCTTGTCCTTCAGCCAGGCTGTCACCTCCGCCGGCGAGGAGTTGGGGTGCAGTTTTGGGGGGCTGTCCTGGAGCAGGGGACAAGGGGGGGGGGACAGCGGGGTGGGCCCCTGCCCTCCCCCCCCCATTCCCAGTCCTGGTGGGGAGGAGGGGGGGGTGCAGGGAGGGGAGGGGAGAGGGGGCACCCACCTGGCTGGTGCTGTGTCCCCCCCCGTGCCCCTGCCCCAAGGGCTCCAGGATGTTGCTGGGGACATAGCCCTTCACCCCCCGGCTGTCCTGCACCAGCCACCACTTCTTCCTCTGGTCCAAGACCTAAGGGGTGTGGAGACAAGCCGGGGGGGCTGTCACCCCCCTTCCAGGACCCCCAGCGCGGAGTCCCCACTCCATCCTCCTCAGGAACATGCATGGAGGGGGGGTTGGCCCTTGGTTTCTACCTGTAGCGTGTCCCCCATCCTGATGCTCAGCTCCTGGGGGTTCCTGCCCTGAAACTCGTACAGGGCTCGGACCAGCCCCTGGGTAGGGATGTGGGCCCTGGAAATGGGGGGGCGGTGGGGGGGCATCAACACGCAGCCAGGGGCTAAATCCTGCCCCAGCCCTCAGCATCCATGGAGCAGCGGGAGCACTTACACTTGGCCAGGATCGTCCCTCCGGCCGGTGAGCGGCGACTGTGCGGGGAGCAGAGGGAAGGGCGGGTGTTGGGAGCGACTTGGGGAAACTGAGGCAGGCTGTGGGCTGTCCTGGCCCCCCCTGGGCCATACCTGCTCCACGGGAGGGGGCAGCCACCCGTCCGAGAAGACGGGGATGTAGCGGGGCACCAGCTCGCCGTTGGGGTACTCTGCTCTGCAAGGGGCAGGAGAAAGCCAAGGTGGGTGGTGTGACCCCCCCCCCACCCCCCTCCAAGGCCGAACCCCACCCCTCCTCGGTGTTCGGGGGGCCGGATCCCACCTGGTCTTGTTCCAGGCGATGCCCAAGGTCTTCCAGATGCCGTAGTCATCCTGGTGCAGGGTCCTCTCCAGCAGCTCCACCGCCTCGGGCACCAGCAGCGGGGCCTCCGCCGCCGGGGCCAGGCTGGGGCTGGGGCAGTGGTCCAGGACCTGCTGCGGGCAGTGATGGAGCAGCACCCCCAGACCTGCCCCCCACCCCCCACCTAGGATGGGGGGGGGTGGGGTGGGGAGGGGGAGGGGGGAGAAAGGTCGCTGCTCACCCCTGGGTGGGGGGTTGGGACCCGTTTCGGGGGGCACTCACGAAGGAGAGGGCCGTGAAGATGAGATGCAGCAGCTCAGAGGGGTCCGGCTCCCGCATGTGCTGGTGGGTCCTTCCCTGCGCGAAGGGGTGAAAGGGTGTCCCCACGCAGCCCCCCCCCCCGGCCCCACACATCCCACAGCCCCCCAACCCAGCAGCGGAGTGGGCAGGGACATGCCGGGGGTGCCAACGAGCCGTGGGGTCACATCCAGCCCAACGGGACCTACCATGAGGTTGAAGGCGTATTTCACCTTCTGGAAAAAGTCCATGTACTCATCCTTGGAGGGCAGAGCTGAAGGGGCAGAGAGGGGGGGCTGGCACCGGGATGGCCCCCCCCCCCCCCCGCCCTGTCCCCCCGCCAGGGCACAGCCCTCCCCCATCACCTTTGTTCTTCATCTTCTTCTTCTTCTGGTTGGTGGTGTTGACCAAGCCCAGGGCTGTCTTCAGCTGGACCACGAAGAGTTCCAAGTCGCTCAGCACGTGGTTGAGGACCTCCTGTGGGAGCAGGATGGGACCCGATGGGTGCTGGTGGGGAGGGCTGGGGTGTCCCCACCTAAGGTGGGGCGGATGTGGGGGGTGGGACTTACAACATCTCGGTCCACGTTGGACGTGACCTGGCTTGGGGGGTTGGTCCACGGCAGCTGCTGGGTGTCCTGCAAGCCTGGTGACAGCAGAGGCTCCCCGTCACCCCACTCCTCCCCCCCTGCTCCTGGGGAAACTGAGGCACACTTCCAACCCCACCCAAGACTCACTGTAGTCCGAGGAGGGCAGCCCACGCTGGGGGGGCGCGTGGAAATCGGGCTCGGGGATCTCTGCCCACCGCTCCGGGGCTCTGTAGGGACCCTGCACATACCGGGGGGCCGGACCCGGCGGCATGTCCAGGCTGCTCCTGGGCAAGGAGGGATGGGGAGGGGGGAGCTGAGGGGGGGGCTGAGCCAGGAGGTGGGGTACTGGGGCAAAAGGGGGGGTCCACCCCTCCAGAGGGTGAGGGAGGAGCAAGAGGCAGAAGGGGGTCTGCACCCACAGAGGGGGGGACTCTTTGGGGGATGTGGGGGCAGTGGAGGCTTGTCCCCCATCCACAGAGAGACCCTCCCTCTGCCCCCCCCCCCCCCCCCCCAACTTGGGAGAATCAGGCCGCGCACCCCCTTACCTCTGCCCATAATGACTCCTCTGCTCCTCCTTCCACTGCGTCACCAGCTTCTCCAGGCTGCTCTTCAGCGTCTCTGCCTGGTACAGACCCACCACCATCAACCCCCCCCCATCCCGGGATGCTTCCGCCCTACTTCCCACACCCCCACACCCCCCCCCCGCTCAGGGTTTACCCCCAGACGCTCGCACTGGAAGAGCAGGACGCTGGTCCCCGGGGGGCTCTGCTCCTGCACGCTGACGGTCAACACCGAGTTGTAGCCGCAGACGTCCAGCACGGCCGAGCACCCCTGCACGCTGCCCAGCGGGTAAGCCTCCAGCTCCTCCTGGAGGGGGGGGGGGGGGAACGGGGTGCTGAGCCCCCCCAGAATGGCTAGTGGGGGGTAAAAGGCTAAGGGGGTGCAAGGGTTATAGGGGTGCTAGGGCATGGGGGGTTTGCAGGGTTGTGGGGTTATGGGGTGGCAGAGCCAGGGGAATACCAGGATTTTAGGGGTGCTGAGTCTCGAGGTGGGGGTGGCATGGGGTAGGAGAGGAAGGGTTGGGGGGTAGTATGGTTATGGGGGGTGCCAGTGTTATAGGGGTGCGAGGGTGGTGGTTGGTGTCAGGGCCGAGGGGGTGCAAGGGTGTGTGTGGGGTACCAGGGTTAAGGGGGTGCCATAGGTGGGGGGAATATGGGATTTGTGGGGGGGGTACCAGGGTTATGGGGGTGCCATAGGTGGGGGGAATATGGGATTTGTGCGGGGGTTGAGTCCAGGGTGGGTGTCAAAGCCAAAGTGGGTGCTACAGCCAAGGGGTGCTGGAGGGGTTAGGGGTGCAGGGTGGGTGCCAGGGCTGGGGGTGGGGGGGGTGTTGAAAGGCTGATGTGCATGCTGGGGTGCAAGGGGGTACCAGGATTCCTGGGATGCCATGGAGTGGGTGTTGGGGCCACGGGGGGTGTAAGGGATAATTTTTTTGGGGGGGGGTTGCCAGGGTTATGGGAGTGCCAGAACTGCAGGGGGTACCACAGCGGGAGGAACACCAGATTTATGGGGGTGCTGGGTCTAGAGTGGGTGCCATGGCCAAGCTGGGGAGTACCAGGCTTTTGGGGGTGCCCTGGCCAGGGGGTACCTTGCTCTCCACATCCCTCAGCACCAATTCCTGGTCCTTGACTTGCAGGATGAGGTCCTGCCCCCAGACCCGTCCCTGGGCCTCCAGCACCTTCAGGCGCGCCAGGCAATCCTCGGCGCTGCGGATCTCCCTCTCCAGGCGCACCGTGAGCAGGTGCTGGGGGGGGGGACACGGCACCGGCTGCCCCCTCACCACCCCACGCTCGGCGAGTTGCAGGGTTTGGGGTCGTTTGTGGGGGCGTCTCCTACCTCAACGTGGTGCTGGAAATCGCTTTGGGGCTTGAGCAGGGTCTGGCTGTAGTCCTTGCGCTGGTCTGCAGGGGCACACAGGGTCAGGGGATGGGGACAGGAGCGGGGGGGGGGGGGTTTGGGGTGCAGCCCTCACTCACTGTAGATGCTTTTCCCACTGGGGCGGGCGAAGCTGTTGGACCGTTGGAGTAGGGAGCTGTCGTCGTATTCGCTCCTGGGTGGACGGACGGACAGACGGAGCGTTGCGCCCTGCTGTGTGGTCCCCTCTCCCCAAACCCAGCCCTCGGGGGTCCCCGGTATACTCACTGGAACGGGGGGCTGCTCCAGCGGCCGAAGGGGTCTCCCATCTTACCGGGGGCAGTGAGAGCGGCTCGATCCTGTGACGGGGTCCTGGGCTGGGCACGGTCCCCACGTCGCCCCCAGTGTGTCCCCAACCACCCTCCCATGCCACCCCCCACCCCAAAGCAGCAGCATCACCCTGATCCCCAGCAGGACCCCCTTTCCCCCCACCATCCCCAGCCATCCTGCCCCATCCCAGCCCCACAGCGTTCACCCAGCAGCCGGAGCCAACCCCCCCTCCCCCCCCCCCCCATTTCACTAGATGGGGTCCCTGTCCCGGGGTGCCCCCACTCACCCCAATCCTGGTTGCCGCTGGCTCGGCTGCCCGGGCTGGAATTGCGCAGTGGAAGGTGGCACGGGTGGGGGCAAGGGCTTGACGTCGGCACCGCACCCGCTTGCTCTTTGCCCGATGGCATTGGCTTCAAAGCGGGGGGGGTGTGGGGGGTGTGTGTGGGACACACACACACACACACAATGACAGGGAGGGGGACAACCACCTGGCACAGCCGCCACCACCCCGCTCACCTTGGGGTGCCCACCCTGTGGCAGGGTTTGCTGGCCTCGGGGGCACCCAGAGAAAGCAGAGTGGCCCCCCCCAACCCGCCCCCCAAGGCCAGATAGGTGCCCCCCCCCCCCCCCAGCCCTGGGGCTGGGCTTTGGTGACGTCCCGTGTGACAGCACCCAACCCTCTCTCCCACAGACCTCTGTGCCTGTACACGGTGGGTAACCCCGGGCTCGCCCCGAAACTCGGTCACCGCTGGGAAAACCCTCCCGGGGTGGTTTGTGCCGAGGAAGGGGCCGGATCCGGCGCGCGGGGGCACGACCAGGCTGGTGGCAGCAGGGTCACCGTCCCCAGCGCTGTGGGGTCACCCACCCCTGCCCTTGGGTGTCCATCCCGCAGGGTCCCTGTTGTAGGATCCGTCCCCCGGCACCCCCAGGACCACTGGGGAGAACTCCAGTCCCAATCTGTCCCCGTGGCTGGGGGACACTGTGTGGCTTCAAGTGTGGTTGGTGCTGGCCAGGAGTCGTGTCCGCGGGACCAGGGTGACCCACTGGCCCCCCCTTCCCCTGGCACAGTGAGGTGGGATTTGAGTTAATTTTGAGACTTTTGGCTTCTCTGGGCTGGTCGTGGTGCAGCCTGGGGTGGGTGGGCTGTGGCCACTGTGTCCCCGAGGGCACTGCTGGCTGTGCAGGGTCCCATCTGTGTGTGTGTGTTCCCTCCCCCCCCCCCCCAACTTGTCACATCCTGGGTGACCCTCTCCATTTTCTTTCCAGGTTTTTGGACCAAACTGGCCTCACCCCAGAGGGACCCCCAGCACTTTGCACCCAAGAGCATCGCACGGAGCAGGCAGTGAGACCCCTTTGGGGGTGTTCGGGGACCGTCGGTGGTCACGTACGAGCAGAACCGAGGGGACAAGATGGGGGGAAGGGGCTGGGAATGGCTCCCGGGGAGCGCGGAGCGGGGGGGGGGGTGCAGGGCTTGGGGCCGTGCCTCAGTTTCCCCGTGTCAGGGAGGAGCAGGGTGCAGTCCCACCTGCGGCCACTAGGGGGCAGTGCGCCCCCACGTCACGCGTGGCCCCAGATGTGCGACACCCGCCCTCGCCCAGATGTGCAGCCCCCGTCCCCCGTCCCCCATCTATAGGGCCCCACACGTGCAGGGTCCCCGATGCGCCCGGCACCGGGGACCTTTGGGTGCCACTTCTTGAGGGGGGGGGGGCACCAGTGGGCACCGGCTCTGTGGCGTCACGGTCCCCGTGGAAGTTTTGGGGTTACAGCCCCCCAGTAGCTGAGCACCCCCCTTCCCTGTAGATATACTGCTGTGAAAGGGAATCGGGGGGGGGTCCCCTGACATGGTCCCACTGTCCCCTCCTCCTTAGGGACTGGGCACCCTGCCTGAAGGGGGGGGGGTTGGGGAGAGGTTTGAGGAGAAAAAGGGGGGGGGGGGGTCTCTTGGGATATGGGTCAAAACGCCCCCCTTAAACCTCCCCCGAGGGCCTTGTCCTGCCCTGGCAGGGATTGAAATGCGTTTGGGATCCGTTTGGGATCGTGGGTGCTGGCTGGCTGAGGGTGCTTGTCCCTGTGCTGTTCTCCAGTTCACCCAGTGTCACCAGCGCTGGGCCATGTTGGGGTGCAGTGCCACCACAGCACCCCCCCCCCCCCCCCTCCGCTCCCAGTGGGGAGCCAGTCCACCCAGCACCCCTTACTGGGAGGCGTGCAGGCAGGCAACTGGGGTGTCACTGCTGGCTCCCCACACCGCCCAGGGCTCCTGGATGCCTGGGACCCTGCCGGTGACAGTCCCCAGCACCGGGGTGACCTCAAAAGTGTGACGAGCCGTGAGGAGGAAGCGAAGTCCCTGCGCTGAGGACAACAAACCCCATCAGGATGCGTTAACTGGTGATGCTGGTGGCACCAGCTCAGCGCCAAATTGGGCACCCTGGGGTGTCCCCAGCTCCCCCTGCGCTCAAGCCACGTCCCAAGGGTTGAACCCAAGCACCCCAATACCCCCAGCCCTGCCACAAGCTCGGCCGTGCCTCAGTTTCCCCAGCTGCATCCTGCTGCCTCTCTGGGCTTGGCCGGGGTGCGGGGGCTGCGTCAGGCTGGAGGAATCCGGCTCCTTCCCCGGCTTTTTATGGCACTTGTGGGGTGGGCTTGATCCTCCCACCCCCGGCAGCACCCATGGCACAGGGAGGACCATGGCCCATCCACATCCACCCCTCTGCAGGGACAGGGTGCTTGCCCCACCCCTTCCCAGCTCCTCCCAGTCACCCCACTGGGTAAGCTGGGAACGGTGCCGGCTCTAGAAATATTATAAAAAAAAATTTTTTTAGTTTTTTTCCCCTTGATTCCCGGCCAGAGGCAACGTCTCCCTGCACGGCCCCAGCCAGGCCGCGCACCCCTCGCCCTTGCTCGGGCTTGGGAAGTCCCCGGCGGCCACCAACCCCCTTGGGAAGAGCCGGGAAGGGGCTCGGAGGCTTCTCCCACCCCTCCAGCCTGGGGCGACGCCGAAGCCTTTTGCCATTTCAGGTTTAGAAACCCCCAGAGTCAAAATGTGCTAAATCAGCGAGCTGATCCCAAAACGCAGTTATTCTGGGGAGGAAAATGGCCTCATCCTGCACCCCCTTTTCTGCCCTGTAAAGCTCCTGGGTGAGGGGACACTCACACCCGCCGAGGGGACAGATTTGGGGACACAGCCTGACGCTCCATCAGCCACTCACGCTGTCCCCACTGGGGACACAGGATCAGGCCAGGGTTGGGGCGGATTTGGGGGGTACCCAGGCGGAGGAGGACTTTGGGGGGGGCCACGAATTCCTGGCATTACCGGTGACACATCACTCCCAGCCAGGTGTCACCGGGGCTGCTGTGCCGGAAAGCAGCTGCGGCTCCGGCTGCTGGGAGCCGGCCAGCGGCACAAACCACCGGCCAGCCGGGCTCCGTCCCCACGTCACCGAGGCGAAGTGTGGGGCGGACCGCGGTGTACCCGGACCTGCCGCCTAATTGCTGGGGACCGGAGGCTCCCCGTCATTTGGGGGACGCGTGGGGATGGTTTAACCCCTCAGGGGCTGGGAAACCGGGTCGGATTGTTCTCCCTGGGCCAGAGGAACGGCGCGGCACGACACAGCGTGACACGGCATGGCACGGTGCAGCCCCCAGCGTCGGGGTGTCCCTCTCTGTGACGCCCAAATCCACAAGTCCTTCTGCCCTCCGCTGGGTCTCCTTGGTGGCAACGGTGGCAAGACGATATCCCAACCCTCACGCCAGCCAGGAGGCTATTTTGGGGCGACATGGGGGGCAGATGGAGGGATGCTCTGTGAAGCCCCACTGTCACCCTGCCTCCCTGCACCCTGCTCGGTCTGTCCCTGGTCCACGGTCACCCCAGCACGCCGTGTCCCATCCCCGCCCGTGGTTTTAGACCCCTCTGTGCTGAGCGAGCGGAGCCGGAGCCAGAGCAGGGGGAGTCCCGGGTGGGTGCCCCAGGGATTTTCCTACATGACCCTGGTCGCATCCTGTGAAGGGGCTTGGGCATCCGCCTGGCATGGCCACCCCAGGAGGGCATCGTGGAGCCGGTGTGGCACTGCCACCGCTGGGTCCCCGTCACCCTGCTGTGTCCCTTTGCTGTGGGCTCACTGGGGGCTGCATCTCCTTCGCCACCATCCCCAGAGTTCCGGGCTCGGTGCCACCACCGAACCCTGCCGCTTCCCCCAGAACATCCTCGGGGTCACCCCAAGGGAGAGGCTCCTTGGGGTCCCAGCCCTGAGCCTGGTGCCACGAGCTCCATGGCCATGGGGCATCCTGGCCCTCATTGCTCCGGCTTATTCTGGTTTTACCAGCGTTTTTCCCAACTCTTCAGAGGAACAGGAAGAAATCTCTGGGGCTTTTCTAGCCTGTTGGCTTTCCAGAATCCCTCCAGGGATGTCCTCAAAGGCTTTTCAGAAGCAGCACCATCCTCCTCCCTCCTCTGCTCTTTAACCTGCTACTGATTTTTTTTTTTTTTTTTCCTCTCTCATTTCTAGAGGGTGCTGGAGAAGATGCTGACAAGCAGATGATGCTCTGGGGGGTTATGAGGGCGGTAGGTGCACCCATGGCCAGCTCAGCTGAGGCCACCCATGGCCAGCAGCTCCCAGCTAAGCTGCAGGGACCTGACTGGAGACTGGTGACCTTCACACCATGAGGTTTTTTTTTGCTTTGAAGAAGCTGAAAAGAGCAGTGAGCACATGCTGCAGAGCATTGGGGATATAAGCACCATTTGGATCCCCCCCAAATCCTGAGCCATCAGCCTGGCCCATGGACAAGGCAAGAGCTCCGTGAAGGCACATATGGCAACACAAAAAGCCTTTTTACCTCCAAAGAAGCAGCTGGCCCCATGGCTTTGGCCACACATCTGCAAAAAACATGTTGCTTTTGGGGTAAAGAGGGAAAACCAATGCTCCCAGGGCCACCCCAGTATACGTGGGACCCGTCCTGCTTCACTCCCTGCTGTCTCTCATCCTGGCAGCAGAGTCTGGCCACG